CCTAGTACTTGGGCTAAGGTTGCGGCCTCTGCTCGAGAGCACGTAGTCGTGAAAGACGTCGAAATGGAAGAAGCCTGACAAGCATGATCGCAGCTATTCCGGACGGTTTTGTTGTGCTAGTGCACGTTGCATATTTGTATACTGGATAGTATCGAATCTGGTATGAGGTGGGAGTACGAGACATCAATAGCTGGAGCACAAAGCAGTAGTAACAGATTAGTTAGTTGATGTCAGTCTCATTCCAGTTAGATACTAATGAATAGGAGGAGCGCAAGATGTGAGTGGTTGTGACTATGAGGGAGAAAAATAGATCCGAGAAAGACTCTGAGGAGCTTCTCAAGAAAGGATCGTGACCATCATTGGTCCTCCCTTGCTTACTGTTGTAAGCCGGAGTAGTCACTGAGAACTGAAAGGGGGTTTTGCCTGCGGGCCTTCCCCGATGAAACACAACTAGCCTCGACTCCATCACTTTTAAATTCTCACTCTGAACAACAAGTCCTTCATCCTAACTACACGACACGCCCGACACCAAAGACAAGACAACTCTTAAGTGCGGACGAGACCATCACTCTCGTACCAATGCAAAGAAAGCTACGAAAAAATCTACCAAAACTATCTAATTGGCAGCACACTCTCGATCCTGGATTTTGGGACGCGAACAATTCCATATAAGCTGGTAGCACTTGGAATTCATTAATATCATCACTCTCCATGCTCTTCAATGCGTCACTAATTACACGATGTAGCACGGAATGTTTCCTAGATACGTCCACACCTTCCACCTGCTTCAAATTATTAATAATTCGCGCTTTGGGCGTATTGTGACCCTCAACCGCCAGCACGGAAAGCAGGCATGCGGACAATTTGATCTTCAGTCGGGTTGGCGGTACTGGGGCAGCACTGCATGTGGGTCAAATCCATCTTCGAAATATACCAGCTATTGTCCGGGACGTGGCTCAGCGAAGTCTTAGGTCTCTTACGGGTACTCTTAGGGTCCTTCCTAATGTGTTTGCGTGCGAGCGATACAAACCACTTACATTCTAGTGCCGTGCACGCCCATCGCCTGTAGTTGCCGTTGTTTTTCGCGAGGCGTACACTCTTGTTGGAATTAGATGCAAAAGCAGATACAAATTTCCCACCCACATCTGCAGACGGAAAAATGGCATGTAGAACAACCTCCGAATACACATAATCACCGACTAAGTCAATTGGCATGCCGGCAGCTTGTTGTCAGGGAACGTCTTTGCTCGACTGCTTTTTTGCCCGAGTAGAACCTTCGCTGCACCCTAAAAATAACAGTAAACCCTATGGAAATCTAGCCAATCAGCGTGAAGGAACTTCGTTGGGCCGTCTGGGCTTCTTCGTTGAAGAGTCCAAAGGTATATATCCGCGGTGGTGTTGCTGCCACCTGCTTCGTTCGAGGTTCTTCTAGCCGAGCGTTCCAAGAACTACACGGTTAAGTAATCAGCGCGGCCGCCCCCCTAAATTACGCTTTCTACAAGCCCAAGCATGTACAGCGTTTCAGGCGTACACAATCGAGCAGCGCGCCTACTTGTGCAGTGGAAGAAGCGATATCAATACATAAATGTATAAGTAGTTTTAAGGATGGCTCTTAATAATTTGCGCGCTAATTGAGTCACTTTTTCTGGGAGATGCTTATTTTGTGTGAATCACCGAAGGTTCACCTGCCAGTTCGGAATTTGTAGCGTAAAACTCAAGCCGTTCAACATGCGTTTTTCCTCTGTGTGCGGTATTATACTCGTCATGGTCGTTACAATTTCTGTAAGCGGTGCCATCGATACTGGCGATAACGCCAAGGAGACGCCGACCACCCGCTTCTCACTGAATGAGGAGCGATCGCGCGTTGGAGGGCCATCATATTCTGCTGAAGGAACCTCCCGTGACGCATGGCCGAATTTCAAAGCATGGCTCAAGAAAACATTCTTCTTCTGGAGGAAGCAAGAATCAAGTCGACTTCGCAACTGAGTTCTGAGCAGCGAACACTGGATTTGTATCACTCCGTGGGCAATCACACCAGGCCTCGGACAATACAATACGAAATTGTACTGCAAGACATCGAGTCCCATAATAATAACGGGAATATGATGAAGTACAATAATAATAACGGGGCCAATATAAGTATATTGTGGCCTCTAACGACCAAGTCTTCCTACTCATTGGCGACGAGCGAAGTCGCGTTCCACATGTCGCGGTTCACGCGAAGAAATGCTAACATCTCAAAGTTTGCAGAAAGCATGCATGACCGCTGAGGCGTCAGAATGAGCTTGCACTGCGAAAACAGTCTTTCAACTGTGTTCGAGGTGGGCGGCACCACCTTTGCCAGCTCATGAAAGCTCACACCCGCAGCACCAGCCGCTCGCATCTGCTTCCCCCCTCGTAGAATTGCGCTGGCGTAATCGCTCGTCGAGCGCTCCTTCCTCTTACCAGTTGCAGCATCTGGCTCCACCACCAATCGCTGGACTGCGCGCGACTCAGACGCAGTGAGCTTCGCATTGTTGCAAATCTTGACCAAAGCTGCCTCAAAGGCCGGCGCATGGACGATCTTCGCCGCCGGACGCAGATGGCTCGCCATAACTGGGTAGTCGTCAACAACCTGGTCAAACAAAACACGCACGTCCGCCATGCTGGTGTCCTCGCGCTGGAGTGTCTTGCAGACACTATCGAGTTTCTTGAGGTGCTCTAGCAGGCCGAGAAGCTTCTTGTGGGCCGCACCTTTTGGGATGAACTCGTCAACAGCATCAACCTGCCGAAAAGAATCTCGAATTTTCTTATAGCGGTCCACCATTGCGAATGTCGAAGACCAACGGGTAACATTCCGTTTGACAGGTTTCAGGTCCGTGAATTTTGATAGTTCCGCAGCATTGTTCACGTGTCGTAGCTGCACCATCAGACTGTTAACTGCAGCGAGCTCCGGCTCATAAGCAGCTAAGTAGCGATTCACCGCAAGGTTGTACCGGTGACTTGCATAGCCAACCAGTGGCAACTCCAAGAACGTAGCGATCCGCTGATTGGTCGCGCAATTGTCGGCTACCAGAAAAGCCACCATAGAGATGTCCTTGTTATACAGCGCCAGCACGCGCTTGAACATCTCGATGTGCACTTCAGCATCTTGGCTGCCGTCCTCCAGCGGTGACAGCGACAGCAGTCGCTCACGGCGCTTGCCGTCTGCGTAGCAAACACCGTAGATACCGACGTAGTGCGTGGTACCGTGCGTCCATCCATCCCACATGACACCAAGCAGCTTGCCCAACTCGCTTTCGATCAGCACACCAACGCTCTCGGAGCACTTCTTCATGTCTTCCTTCAACGTCTTGGACGAAACGGGCTTCCAGGACGACATGGACCTTGTGAGGTGGTTGTCGACCTCGGAGACGGGCATGTGCCTCTCTACGACCCACTGAAGCCACTGATAGCGATGCTGAGTCGCCTCGGACACGAACTCAAAGTTGGACAGAGGGGCGTCCGTAGCCGCAGATGCGCTGTAGGTCTCGTTGAAGTCGGGGTGCGTCAGGTTGAGGTGGGACATCAGGTTCGAGTACCCGGTACCGGTTTGCTGCTTGCGGTAAGAGCCGCAAAGCTGACAGCGGAAGTCGCCTTGGCCCTTGTCTTCGTAAAAGAATGCGCAGATATCACGGTTCGGAGCCATCGTGGTCAAATGAAAAGTGAGGGAGTGCTCTGAGGCTTCGGCTTGTGCTCGTGTCTGTGCCTGCCAGCCAACCACTTGAACGATTGGCGCGAAGAGCTAGTTGCCTCTAACATATTGGTATAAACCGGTATTGTACTGATATTATTGGATCAATATCATATTATATTGACTTTGGACAGATCCAATAATAATAATTGTAGCCGGATAATACAGTAATTACGGGATTGATGTTATTTTTTTCCACCCCTGAATCACACCCATGAATCGCTCATGCTTTCATGGATGTAATTTGCTTATGCGCTACACGAACTTTGTGGAACGATATAATGTCTGTGATGCCCTGCAGGATACTTCGTATCCCTCTCGGTAAAGTATCTTTCATAGAATAAACGCTCTAACTATTCTTCAGTCCCGAGACTAGAAACGTGTTCCAATCTTCGATGGTGCTTACATCTCGATAAATATCACTGCGATGTAGCAGTAAACGCTTCTGTATCTCCTCGTGATCGGTCGCAATATTTACTGCTAGCTGAACGTATTCGTCAAGCGAATTCGCAATACAATCAGAAGCGTTCATATAGCGTAAGAATCCAGCGGCGAGATGGACGACGCTTTGAGCAGCAGGCAGCGTTACCACAGGGCTACGTCCACAATATCCCCGTTTACTAAATGAGTCTACTATATACCAGCTCAAAACAATTAAGCGCTCCATCTTACATGCCCAAATGTAGCGCGTCCAGTGTCGTAACTCCGCCTCCGAATGGGAACGGGTCCAACACAACGTCGGCGAGCGTCAACAAAGCCTGAAACTCAGCAAAAGGAAGCGTCGGTAAGAACAGAACGCGTCGAGTGTTCTGTATTCGAAAAAAAAAGTTAGTCTTTTTCAGTGAATAAAACAAATAATATACCACTGTACCGGTCCAAAACGCAGTCGAAATCTCCGTCGAAGCTTCTCCATCCAGACCAATTGTGTGTCGGACGCTAACAACACGATGATTGCCTTGTCATCACGACTCAGGGTCCCAGCCAAAGCGTCATCAAAAGCAGGGTGAAGCTTCATCAACGTCTGCATATAAAGGAGAATTATAACATGACTTTGTAAGGAACCTGACACATTCGTTCTCACCTGAGGACACACGTAGAGTCTACGGTTTGTTGGTAGAAATAGTCGAGACCGGGTGATCTCCCTGGATTCTGCAGCTAGCGTCTTGGGCTCAGTGAAGATCGTGCTGAGGCCACGAAATAACACGACCTGCTCCGAAAATGAAGACCGACGGAAGCCAGATAACTTTCGTGGCGTCGACTCCGTTGGTTCATCGAATTGCTCAGAGACAAAGTGCTCGGACGAGAGGAAATAGTCGATTTGTGGGTTGCCGGTAGTGATCGGATGGCCCCAGAAAGCACACTGGACGGGAGCCACTCGATGATGAGATAGCAAAACTGTCCACTCGTCCATGCCCAGTTCAGGGAAAATCACAATATCAAGGTGCGCTTGTCGAAGTATTTGCACTGCAGTGTCTTGGTTCTCGGGTAGCTCGACGAACTCATCAGCTGTGTGCTTGAATAGTTCTGTGATTTCGTCAGCATCGCGCAGGAAGTGCACGCAGTGGTAAATGACAACATGGAACTTGGCTCGATCCAGATTTTGAACGACGCCTAGCAGTAATTTCCCGACCGAATGAGCTCGAAGCCAAGAAGAGATAAACGCAACTCGTCGACGCCTGTGAGCATCATCCGACCAGATTTCTCCCGGATTTTGCGGCTCAAAGGAGGAAGAGAGGCTCGGGTAAACTAAGGATCGAAGACGGTGTATTGCCCGTTGGATAGGAAGAACATCGATGCCCTGTACACGAGACACAAGACATCAAATTTCTGTACACCTTATATTTGCTGTAGCCATCGGATCGTACCTGGTAGCCGATGAACATGGTGGGAGGCGTGATGGTGTACTGAAGATACGCTGCTTGTTCGGGACATAGCGCCCTATTTGGCTTCCCTAATTTCAGCGCTCCATCCGACTCATCAGCATTTCCCAGTGGCAAGACTGCAAGTTCCTTCAAATTCTGCTTTTTCAAAAGTGCTTCAGTGAAAATGTGCAGTTTCTTCTTCAGTTCCGCGATGAACAAGTCCATATCGTTCTGGGAAGAGAAGACAATTGGCACAGCTAAAAGCTGACGAAGCTACATGGTCACGTAGATCAGCCTCAATATCTCATGATTGTATGGATACAAGTCCGGATTAGCTCGTACCTCAAGTGTAGTTCTATCACCTGGACACAGTCGTGCGGCATTTTCAAAGAAGCGAAGTGATTCTTTGAACGGACCCAACTCGTCCAGGAAGACGCCCATCATTACAAGTGAATGAAAAAGGTCTTCCGTGAACTCACTACTGAACTGTCGAGGCAGAGATCCTGTGTGATCGGTGGTCTGTTCCTTTAGATGGCAGCACGTCAGCGCCAAGTTCGTGTCGTTTAGCAGTCCCGCAGCAAGTCGCAAACACTCTTCATCATGACTAGATCGCGTCAATTTCGCCAGTCGATTGAACGCTTCTTGGGCCACTTTTAGACTCGGTATACCAACTTTCAACTCGGAGGTTTTACATCCCGAAGCTCCCTTTACGCTCGCTATCACGTTTCCTTGTAGGAATTTTAAAAATAACAGTAAGCACTGTACCGACGTGTCAATATGACTGTCGGATAATAGTAGTATTTTTTCGAGCAGAGAAATACTATGCGAATAGTACCCCGATTCCGTCAGCTTTAAGGCTGCTGTGTGCAGTAGTAAGCGATCGCTTCGACTAACAGTCTTGGGTTCATTAGTCCACACCTGAATTTGCAGAGCTGCAGCGGCTACGGAAGCATGGAGAGCGGCTTCACTCGCAAAACGCCACTTAGAAAGTTGTTTCGCGCTGAACGAAAAGAAATCCACTAGTTCTTTCGCTTCAGCGGCGCTGTGAGCTGTACCACGAATTTGATACATCACTGTTGACATCGTAGACAAAAGATCATCCAGTGTCCCCACAATGGGCTCAAGTAGCTCCATAACGTCGTTAAACTCTTCGTAAACAACCACAGGCGCATTGATATCTACCAAAAATTGGAGTCTTGAGCGTGCTTGGTCAACCAAACCCATAGCTGCCACTTTTAGTCCAATCTCGGACATTTCCTTTACCATTTCAATCAGTTTCTCTCCTTCGCTCTTCGTTGTCGACACTGCTGCAGTTGTGGTATGTTCATATTCAAGGCTGCTGAGGGGGATGAGCGTGTCCTCTGAGCTCACAAGTATCATCATAGCAGCACCCACAGCAGCCACATTCTCTAGTTTCTTCTGGAATGAGCACTCACCGCGGCGAACAATCACTGCAGTGCTCTCGACTTTCGAGTATTTTCTGTTGGATATGTCGAGCAATGGCGAGCACCCCAGCGAATTATCGTTAGGCGCTAGGATCATCGTCATTCTCTTGGTCTCGTCTGGTAGATAGGCCCCAAACGCAGCCAATTGGCAACGGAATGGAAAAAATGCTGCCTCTGTAGTGTCAGGGGCTGCAAGTATCTGTGCGACGCATTCACCTACAAGAATTCAATACCAACCACTGTAGTGACGCAAAAGGGTCTACTTACCTACTGGCAGTGTTGGCTGCTTGCTCGCCGCAATAACGACATCAAGCACGCTTACACTTAATACACAGCAGAGTATCAGCATAGTCCAGCGCATGGTTTGGTCTCCTTGATGCTTGTCAGGTGAGGAGTGCGCCGTCTCTTCAAAGATCGCGTATCTTCATATATTTCTAGTACTGTAGTTTTTTAGAAATTAGTTTTCCGTGAAAATAGGAACGGATGTCTGTAATTATTTTAATAAAATAAATAAGCCCTATATAACCTCGATTTATAAGACGCACCTTTTTTGCAAGGCACAACAGTACTTCTATTAGTACTACTCAATGTATTAAAAATAAGTTCAGACGAAGTAATGCACTGAAATATCAGGGAGCGAAAACGTCGAGAAAAGCCCTAATTCCAGAGACGCTGAATCATCTAAAAGTTATTAATCTCGTGATGAATTACTACATGAACTCTAGATGAAAGGCTCAGACTACAAGTTTGTGCTTCCTATTTGTATCTACGCATG